ATCTGCAAACTGTATCTCTGTCAGAGGCGCTCAGCTCTCTCACTGCCCCGCATCAGGATGCAGACACACTGCCGAGTGAGATACAATGCGTGGGACAGAAAAGAAAAGTGTAGGCAGCGTTTTGCAGAAAGAGGTATCTGAATGCAGAGATCAGCCACTCCCCATTGCTGGCAGGAATGCCAGGCTTTTCAGAAAATCACATTAGAAGTTCCAGCAGTAGATGGAACCCGGCCAGTAGACACAATGGTGGGGAGCTGGGGGAAGCTTTGTAATTAAAGGCTGAACTCTGAATACTCGCAAGCAGACTAAGAACTCTCTCCTGTTGTCAACAAGGGCTGATTTTTTAAACTGAGCCTAGTAAGACACGAATACGTGTGGGAAATTAAGGAAGTCAGTGGACTGCAGCCGTCAGGTTAAGAATGAAGAAGGTAGTCTGAATGGTACTTACAGAGATCACAAGCTCCCTAGCATGAGAGACTGGAAGTGACCACAGAGGAGCATCACTGTGAGTCCTTTCCAAGATGATGTATATATAGTTACACAGAAATTGACTGCCTAGTAAACTGCAGCTGGCTCTTGTCTTTTGTGTCAGTTCAGTTCTCTATTGAGTCTTTTCATGGTCTTTATAAAGTCCAGAATTTATAAAGAACTCTTCAAAGCTAACCTGTTAGTATCTGAACCAGATACTGATGATTACTATCAATATTCTAGAATGACCAAGCCAAATAAGCAAGCAGATCTTTACTCAAATAAAATTTATTTCAAACAAAATATATACAAGTTACACCAGGAAGATGTAGTACCATCTCTGTCACAGCAGTTCCCTAATGGAATTATAATCCCAAATTTCCCATCTTCACCACAACAAAGCTAAATTTCTGTAAGCTGAAAATCTGCATAGAGAATGCTATTTTTTTTTACTAGATTAAAATTTGGCAGCAACTAAACAATATTTTGAAGGAACTAGTAAAGTTAAACTCCTTGAAGGCATTCTTTCCTTCAATTTATGTAGATTGAAAGCCATCCATCTTCTAGATACTATGATAAGTGATAGACATCACATAGCAAAATCATGGAGTTCACACTCCAGGATGACTAAAAGATATCAAACCAATAATCTTACCAATGATTAATTCTCTGAAGGAAAGGATAAAATGAGCTGTATAACAAAGAAAACTGACCTAGTTGAGAAGGTTTACAGGAAGAAGTAAAAAGCTTTTGCTAAAGTAAGAACAATGAGAAGAAGTTTGGGGACTAGAGACAGGGAAGATAGAACATATCAAGCAGAGAGACCAGCTAGCATCCTTCAGTGACAGAACGCAAAGTTCATCTGAGAACTAAAAGCCAATGTGACTGAATGTAATGAAGACAGGTCCAAGGAACTGGAGCTCTGAAAACAAAGGTAAGAAAGGTGGAAGGAGAATCCTAGAGGTGGATACAAACCACCTATGCAGAGTCTTAAATGCCACACTAAGGAACTTGATCTTCCACCTAAGAGAATCCAGAAGCTGCTGCAGATTTTAGCAAGAGTCAAGTAATACATTTGTGGGCCTTGTTGCTTTGTTGCATACATAGAGAGTGCTCAGTATACACGCATTGAATAAATTCGAGAAAGTTGTCTTCCCCACAAAGTATCCCAGAGAACTGTTACTGTGTTTTCCTAAATTAAACTACCTATCAGAATCATAACTCAGAAACTTCCCTGTAAAAAGGCTTTCTGAAATTTATATTCAAATGGTGCCAAGAGTGTCGTTATTACCACCTTATCATGTGCATAATGCATCCAGGGATACTGTCTTTAAAACAGATACAAAAATTGTCTCAGTAACACTCATACTGGTGAAAATGTTTTGGAAGCATCCATGAAAGTAAATGAAACATTCATTACTATTTACTTCTCTATTAGGGGCAGAAGCTCAATTTAGAATGAAAAGAGGTGATATAAGAGCCTTAAAACATCAAGATACCCTGACTTGCCTGCACACCAATAGCACAGTAGGTTTCTGTGTCTCCTCCTTCAACCCTGCCTTTACAGACACCCAGTGCCTACAACAACTTCACATCTGGGAACTAGGGCAGGAATCAGTCTTCTCCTTGGCTTTCCCTGAAGACTAAGTTATAGGCTTCCTCAGCTCTGCTAAATCAATGATTACTTGTTCATCTATTTCCGTTTTGTAAAATCAGTTGACATCTTTCATTTGTTATTGTCTCTTTAGCCATTCTCTTTGTCCCATGAGCTTATATATTTTGTGTCCTTTTTCTGTTATATTAATGACGTTTGAGGGAGGTATCTGTGTGTTCAATCTGAAACAGTTAACTGGAACTTTCTTATTGTTCTAATTTGCATTTCCTGGTTGAATGTTTTTCATCTTTATGGATCATTTTTACTACTCCTTCATGAACTACCTGCTCTTATCTTTTGGCTGTTTTTCTATCAGGAACTAGACATTTTCTTATCAAGTTTAGTAATTCCTTTTTATATTATGTCTATTAACTCACTGTGTGTAAAACTTGTTGCAAATATTTTTTCCAATTTATCATTTACTTTTAACTTTTACGATTTTTTGTATGTGAAAAATGTTCTTTCAGTTTTTATGTACTATTGTTTGTGGAACTCTTCTATTATTAAAATTACTGTTAATTTAACATTTTAAATTATTTCATTAATTATTGAATCTTTCAGTGATTTTATGCATAGAATGCTTACTTAGCCTGATGTCAGTAAAACACTTACTTACATCATTTTCTAGATATGTTTCTAATTTCCCATTTTTATATTTAAGTTTTAATTCATTTGGAATTTATCCTGTCACATAGGACAAGGGGAGATTTAAGGAATTAATTGAGAAATATAGCACATATACATAAAACATAGACATAGATTATGAATAATTTAACAAATCATTTAAAAACAAACACTCATCCTACTGCAAAGTGAATTCTTGTCTAAAGATCTAACTTTTGGGAGAATCAAAACTAAAATAATTCATACTGGAAATGGTCTAGGAAGCACAACCTCAGATGGGTTTCTGGAACTGGATCACTCCATGGCCAGAGAGCAGCCAAGGGTGTATTGTTAGCAATAAGTGGGTTGTGGTGACCCCTGGCATGCTGTAGGGTCACTATTGCTAAGAGTCTCATCTGTGATGAATTGGAACCAAATGCAGGAAGAAGAGGAGACACTTAGCTTGTGCGATATCTCTACCATTTGAGAGATATGGTAACAGTGATTGCAGTAAAAGACTGCAGATACAGCGGGTGAAGTACCACAGATACACCACTGAAAGAAAATGGTGGGCTCAAGTTAGTCAGCCTCAGGACACAATGCCAAATCCAGAAAACTCTCTGATATCCACATTTACTGCCAGTACAGGCTGAGAATCAGACCTTATTATAAGAGTAGGCAAGTTGCAGAGTATTGTTACCACACAGCCCTGGCAAGTTGACTATGCTGAACTCGAGGCCCTGAGAGAGAAGTAAGAAACTGCAGATGAAAAGGTGACATGTGGATCCCTATGTTCTGCTGAACCATCTAGGTCTCCTCAAGTGACCCACTTTATTTTACTCAGAATAGTCAACTCCCCTTGCCTGAGGACCATTCAGAGACCTCACATGAGTAAGATGACTCACCAGATAATACTTGCCTTCATCAAAATTGGCTCCACCTTTCTTATAGTTTGTAGGCTAAAAGCTAGAGTCAAGTCTCGGCATGGCCCACTTGGGGAAGTACTGTTCTTATTTTGGAAGCAAGAGAACTACACTGAAGTTCTACAATACTGAGGGGAACTGCCATAACTCAGGATTTTACATCCTAGAGGTCCAAATATCATGCTGAGATGGATTTCTTAAACTTGGAAGAAACGTTGACCTATAGTAAATAAGGTGGAAATGCCAGAACAGCTTCATCACAGTTTTAGGAAAGGGGGGAAAGTCTTAGAAAAGAGGATACACTTGAATGGATTTAATGCTTAAGACCAGAGAATTCCTTAGCTACTATGTTTCTCAGGAAAGCCAAAGAAGAAAATCTCTTCACTAAATCAAAAATGAATGTGTTGACAACACAGTTCACAGGGAGGTAAGTAAGGCTACAATATTTATTGAGACTGTGAAACCTGGTTTAAAGCAGGGCTTTCCATTCTGGGACAGGGGTGGAGGTTGACTAGGGTTAGAGAAGGGTCATGATGTAATAATTTAGAGTGAACAAAGAAAAATGAGAGTTTTGAGGTGAGGAGTTCAGTCTTAGGGTGCACACTGTCAGCTGATGTCTCCTACTGAAGCTATGAAGCTATGTAGCTGCTGGGTCCTGCAGGAAGCTCCTGGAATATGCAATAAAATCAATTTGCTTGTTTTAAACAAAAAGAAAGTGCTAATGTGGGGATAGTGTCATTGTTGAGAAAATGCAGTGAATCTGTCCTTTTCTAGCTAGGATATACACTCAGGAAATCTGCCATGGAATAAGCTCATTGGGGTTGACAAAATGAGAGGATTCCAGAAGAGCAGGGGCCAGGTGGTGCCACTGAACTGTCAATGTCAAGGTGGGTGTAATTCCTACACCAGGAAGTTAAGCCAGAATGAAAATCGGGGACCCTGGCCCCCAGGGGTCTGTGGCAGTAGCCAACAGACCACAGTGTTTCCAGGGACACAATGGATGGATAGTGTGCTAGGATGAATAGTGGTCCCTCCTAAGATGTCCACATCTTAATTCCCAGGAACCTGTGAATATATTACCTCACATGGCAAAAGAGACTTGCAATCTGATTGAACTAAGAATCTCAGGATGGGGAGATTATGCCGGAGTATCTGGGTGTGCCCAGAATAATAACAATGTTCTTTGAGGTGAAGGAAGCAGGAGTCAGACTCAAATAAGGGGATGTGACAACAGGAGCAGAGGTCAGAGAGGAAGAGATTTAAAGATGCTATGATGCCAGGTCTGAAGGCCAAGTGAAAGGCTCTGAAAGTACACTCCCCCCAAGACAGTAAATCAGAAAAATACCACACACTGAATGGAATCATGGAGATTGAGTATCACTCTCAGAGGTGTGCACCACCAGACGGAAGAGCCCCGGTCTTCACCATGTCCCTATTTCATCGGTCACTCTGACACCTGCAAAAATCAGATGAATCACAGCGGATGATAACAGACTACTGTGAACCTAACTGAGGCGGAGCCCCATCTCAGCTGCCTGGCAACTGTTGCACTTATCATGCAGCTATTGATCGGGAGGATTTAGCAGGAAGGGTGATAAGCAACAGTTTACACTCACCTGGAATGAATAATAGTACATTCGTGATCTTGACCCAGGGTCATGTTAACACTCTCATGATAAAAGGACTTGGTTTACCTGGAACTTCTGCAGAAACTTATAGTGGTCTGCTCTACTGATGATGTCACTTTAACTGGACCTGGGGAGCAGGAAGTGGCTTTAGAAGAAATACCCTTGTGAGGTATATAAAGATCCAAGATCCTGCCAGAGTGGTGATGTTTTAGAATTTCAGAACTTTGTGACATACTATTAATAAGACACACCCAAAGGAACAGGCATAATGCCTGGTAGTCCTTTTTTGATTTTGGAGAAAGCACATGTCATACAGCTCTGACTTTTTTTATCAGTTGACAACTGGCTCAGAAGCAAGTAGTTCTGAGCAGAGCTTACAGCAGATATAAGTTGTGAAATAAACCTCCTTGTCCATGACATCATGTGAGTCAGCAGATCCTATGGTGCTGGAGCTATTTGTGGAACATAAGCTTGCATGTAGAGTCTTGAGTCGTAGCACAGACCTCTAAGGGCTAGGGAAAAGATTATGCCATCTGAAGCACAGAACCGGTCACCATTCCAAATAGATCTTAGATGCTACTGGCCTCTAGCAGAGACTGAACTCCTAATGAAGGGACATTAAGTGCTGTGCAACTGAGGCTGTTCACTTTGATCTGGGTATCTCATTAATTACAAGTTCGACACGGGGAGAGGGGAGGGGAAAATACCCATCCATCATATCATGAAAATAGTAATTCTGGATCAGACCCAATAAGTTCAAGAGAGCATAAGTAAGTTACATGAACAGGTGTCCCAGACTCTTTTATTACTCCATTTCATCAATGTCTCACCTTTAATGGGTAACAGAAAGGAACAGCTAACAAAGAAGGAAGAACTGAGGCCTGGTTCGTGGATAGGGTGACTCGTTATGTCTGCAAGCCCCAAACAGGCTGCTGTTGTGATACAGTGCATCTCAGAGAAACCCTGAAAGACAGTGTCGAGAGGAAGTCCTGTGCGTTTCACTTTCCGTGAAGAAAAAAATGGCCTAAGATGTGTGCATGCTCAGTTGAGTCCAATTCTTTGCAACACCATCCACTGCAGTCCTCTAGTCTCCTCTGCACTTGGGATTTCCCAGGCAAGAATATTGAAGCGAGTTGCCATTTTCTTCTCCAGGGGATCTTCCCCACCCAGGGATCGAACATACATCTCCTACGTGGCAGGAGGATTCTCTACCACCAAGCCACCTGAGAAGCCCTCTTAAAAGATACTGAAGCTTGCATTTTTCTCCCTTAAATCATTTCCTCTGAATGAGCAAGGTGCTCATATGCAAACAGCCATATGAGAAGATCCACACGGCAAGAAATTTGGGCCTACTGCCAACAGCCAGCACTAACTCTGCAGCCTTGTGAAGGGACCATCTGGGAAGTGGCCCCTCCAGTCCTAGTCAAGCCTTCAGATACTAAAACCTGAGCTGGCATTTTCAGTAAAACCGCTTGAGAAATCTTGAGCCAGAACCACCCAACTCAGCAGCTCCAGAATCTCTTACCCACAGAAACTGTGATGTAGTAAGTGTTTGTTGTTTAAATCACTAAGTTGGGGGTGGGGGTGGATTTATTATGGAGCAATAGATAACTGATACAGATACTATAAAACTGTGAAAGAGTTTACAGTTCCTGGTGGTCAATGAAACTTAAGCAAACCTAGGAACTGTAACAAATGTAACTGCGAACAGCTCTAACAAATCTTTAGTGTTAACAGTAGACCCTAAGTCACCTTACTTTCATCTCCTTGCTGAAAGATGAATGGTAATTCCAGAGGTGAGAAGAGAAGAATTCTTAGAGGAGGAAGCACTTAGTCTAGACTTAGGTTATCTTAGGTTACCTTCTAGTAAGTAGGACTAGATAATAGATGTCTGGATTAGCAGGTTTGTGGTGACAGGAATTACAAGTTCTGAGAACTATAAACTAGCTAAATAGAGTACAGGAAAACTTCTAGAAAAATAATTCTCAAAATGGGACATCCCTTGGGGTGCTTATTTGAAATACAAATCCTGGGTTCCTTTCAAAAAGTTGATATGGTAGATTTAGTAGGAGCCCAGGAATCTACCTTTTTAATAAATATCCCAAGTGATTTTTATGTACATAGATGATCCTTGAAATAAATACGAGAAGCTGTGCAAAAGGAATAATGAAATCTCAGTCCAGAAACATAGGTTAGGACCAGATAACTGAGAATTAAAAGCTGAACTCCGTCGTTGATATACAATAGACAGTGAGATGCCACTGAACTTCTAATAGAATTTTATTATGAAAATTTTCATGTTCAAGTAATGGTCCACTGAATTATTATATCACCCATATTAGTGACTATCAAGATTTTTGTACATGTGGTTCATTATTCCTTTTTTATAGTGTTGATCTTGTTCATAAAGTACTTCACAGCAAATCATAGGCATGTTATTTTACCCTTATATATACATATCTAAGTGTGACTCTGAAGGTATAGATAGCTTTTTATATAGCCACATTGCCTTTATCATACTGAGAAAAAATTAACAATAACTCATTGGTATCATATAATATTGCATTTATATTCATATTTCATCAAGTATCTTTAAAATGATCCTTTTACTATTGAATCTGAATCCAAAATAGGTCCACACATTGCTTCTGGTGCTATATCTTGAGACTGTCTTAATCAAGAACAATCCTCACCCTTCTCCTTCTTTCTTCATGTCACAGACTTGGGGAAACTGAACATTTGTTCTATAGAATGTTACATGAAGTGGGTTTGTCTCTTTGCATTTTTTGTGGTGTCCTTTAAACTTAATATGGTGTGCTATGCTGTGCTAAGTTGCTTAAGTCATGTCTCACTCTTTCCAACCCTATGGACTGTAGTCCGCCAGGCTCCTCTTATCCATGGGGTTCTCCAGGCAAGAACACTGGAGTGAGTTGCCAGGCCCTTCTCAAGGGATCTTCCTGACCCAGGGATTGAACCAGTGTATCCTGTGGATCCTGCATTGCAAGTGAACTCTTTACCACTGAGCCATCGCGGAAGCCCAATATGATATCCCCCATATTGTAAATTCAGATTCACTTTTTTTTTTAAGGATGCTTCATAGAAGTCTGAGTACTTCATAAGTTCAGTTCAGTTCAGTCGGTCAGTCATGTCCGACTCTTTGCGACCTCGTGGACTGCAGCACGCCAGGCCTCCCTGTCCATCACCAAATTCCAGAGTCTGCTAAAACTCATGTCCATTGAGTCGGTAATGTCATCCAACCATCTCATCCTCTGTTGTCTCCTTCTCCTCCGGCATGAAATCTTCCCCACCATCAGGGTCTTTTCCAATGAGTCAGTTCTTCGCATCAGGTGGCCAAAATATTGGAATTTCAGCTTCAGCATCAGTCCTTGCAATGAATATTCAGGACTGATTTCCTTTAGGATGAACTGGTTGGACCTCCTTGCTGTCCAAGGGACTCTCAAAAGTCTTCTCCAACACCACTGTTCAAAAGCATCAATTCTTTGGTGCTCAGCTTTCTTTAATGTCCAATTCTCACATCCATACATGACCATTGGAAAAACCACAGCTTTGACTAGATGGACCGTTGTTGGCAAAGTAATGTCTCTGCTTTCTAATATGCTGTCTAGGTTGGTCATAACTTTTCTTCCAAGGAGCAAGCATCTTCTAGTTTCATGGCTGCAGTCACCATCTGCAGTGATTTTGGAGCCCCAAAAAATAAAGTCTGTCACTGTTTTTCCATTTTTTCCCCATCTATTTGCCATGAAGTGATGGGATCAGATGCCATGATCTTAGTTTTCGGAATGTTGAGTTTTAAGCCAGCTTTTTCACTCTTCTCTTTCACTTTCATCAAGCGGCTCTTTAGTTCTTCTTTGCTTTAGTTCTTCTTTTTCATCTGCATATTGAGGTTATTGATATTTCTCCCTGCAATCTTGATTCCATCTTCTGCTTCATCCAGCCCAGAGTTTCTCATGATACACTCTGCATATAAGTTGAATAAGCAGGGTGACAATATACAGCCTTGACGTACTCCTTTTCCCATTTGGAACCAGTCTGTTGTTCCATATCCGGTTCTAACTGTTGGTTCCCGACCTGCATACAGATTTCTCAGGAGGCAGATCAGGTGGTCTGGTATTCCCATTTCTTTCAGAATTTTCCACAGTTTTTTGTGATCCACACAGTCAAAGGCTTTAGCATAGTCAATAAAGCAGAAGTAGATGTTTTTTTGGAACTCTGTTGCTTTTTTGATGATCCAGCAGATGTTAGCAATTTGGTCTCTGGTTCCTCTGCCTTTCTACAACCAGCCTGAACATCTGGAAGTTCACAGTTCATGTACTGTTGAAGCCTGACTTGGAGAATTTTGAGCATTACTTTACTAGTGTGTGAGATGGCACAATTGTGTGATAGTTTGAGCATTCTTTGGCATTGCCTTTTTTAGAGATTGGAATGAAAACTGACCTTTTCCAGTCCTGTGGCCACTGCTGAGTTTTCCAAATTTGCTGACATATTGAGTGCAGCACTTTCATGGCATCATCTTTTAGAATTTGAAATAGCTCAACTGGAATTCCATTGCCTCCACTAGCTTTGTTTGTAGTGATGCTTCCTAAGGCCCACTTGACTTCGCATTCCAGGATATCTGGCTCTAGGTGAGTGACCACACCATCATGATTATCTGGGTCATGAAGACCTTTTTTGTATAGTTCTTCTGTGTATTCTTGCTACCTCTTCTTAATATCTTCTGCTTCTGTGAGATCCATACCATTTCTGTCCTTTATTGAGCCCATCTTTGCATGAAATGTTCCCTTGGTATCTCTAATTTTCTTGAAGGGATCTCTAGTCCTTCTCTTTCTATTGTTTTCCTCTATTTCTTTGCATTGATCTCTAAGGAAGGCTTTCTTATCTCTCCTTGCTATTCTTTGGAACTCTGCATTCAAATGGGTATATCTTTCCTTTTCTCCTTTGTATTTCACTTCTCTTTCTTTCACAGCTATTTTTAAGACCTCCTCAGGCAACCATTTTGCCTTTTTGCATTACCTTTCCTTGGGGGTGGTCTTGATCCCTGCCTCCTATACAATGTCAAGAACCTCCTTCCATAGTTGTTCAGGCACTCTGTCTATCAGATCTAATCCCTTGAATTTATTTGTCACTT